ATCATACATACAGTCCCATGGTGAAAAGCCCTAGAGGTGGGAGAAAGGGAGTGTGCAATGGATGCCAGGTGACAGAAGAGAGGAAGTGTGTAGTCAGTGTTGGGTAACAGAAGAAAAGGCATCCTAGGATAATAATTGGTATAATCCAGTTTAGTGAATGTTGAATTAAGCTGAAACTTGAAGAGTGCAAATAAGTGAACCATTCAGTCAACCTTTCTTTTTTTTGCCTCCCCTCACCTGTGAGTGTGTGTGTGTGTGTGTTATTCCCCACTCAAGCAAATTGCTATTGTGATTTAGCTGTCTAGATCCATAACACTATTCCCAGATAATCTAGTTAAAAATCTAGATAATCTGTATTATACATACATACATCATGGGGCAACAAAACTCTCATTCCAGGCAATCTTAATTGGCTCCAAATAAGCGAATATAACACAAGTTGTGAGTGTAAAATGTTCCTCTTAAGCTTCAAGTTGGAACCGTCCTGGAGCCATTATGCAAACAGAAGCCCATGACACCAGGTGAAGAGAGTCACTGCACTCATGAGAGGGAGGGAAGATGGAGCACACATGCTTACAGTTGGCCCTACATGTTTACCTCACCTATACACACATGGCTCTGTAGCTAGCAGGAGACCAACTCTGCTATTTCTTAGTTGCATAGTAGTTCACAAGATACATTATTAGCTGGAAGGTGGTGGCACACGCCTTTAATCCCAACACTCGGGAGACAGAGGCAGGCGGATCTCTGTGAGTTCGAGGCCGGGCTGGACCGACAGCCTCCAAAACAATACAGAGAAACCCTGTCTCGTAAAACCAAAAAAAAAAATACATTATTAACCACCATTAATAAAGAATGTCATTTCAGATAGAAATACATTTTCTAATTTTAAAACCAATTATTTGAGTGAAAAGTTCAATTATTATTTTTTTAAAGTCTCTTGATATGTAGAGATAAGACACACTGATGTTTCACCCTTAAAAGTCAAGCAAAATTAAATCAAGGTATTAAGTAGGAGTCAAGAGTTTATAAGCCGGGAAAGAGAGGTTCAAAAATGACAACTGGGAGACAAGGTGACTCCGTGGGTAAAAGTGCTTGCCCTGCAAGCCTGACCACTGACTTTGAGCCCTGGAACCCCAAGATGGAAGGAAAGAGCCCACTCCCGAAAGCTGTACTCTTAGTTCTGTAAGTGCAACCCTGGCATGTATGTCCAGCACAGCCGAGCACACACACACACACACACACACACACACACACACACACACACACGTATGTCCAGCACAGCCGAGCATACACAGGCACACGCACACATGTATGCATGTTTTAAAAGACGACGACCTATTAACTTCATATGGAGAGCCGTAAGTAGAAGCTTCAACTTTCACAGCCCAGCCTTGTGTAACTCTGAGCCCAGGTTTACTAGGTTGACTGCTGTTCCTGAGGGCTGCAAAGAGACAGACTGACCTTTCATGGTGGGGTTGAATGAAAGCATTTAAAGCAACGCCAAAGCCAAAACCACTGCACAGAGTTCTACTTAAAATTACCAAATAGCATTAGAATTTCTGTTTTTGCCACTTCAAATTGATTACATATATATATATATACATATGCAGATAGATAGATAGATAGATAGATAGATAGATAGATAGATAGATAGATAGAACCACCCAGGTGAAAATGATTACTGTACTTTGGGCGCTAAACACCCCACAAAGGTCTTATATGAAAACCTGGGTGTCAGGAGTGGCAGTCTTGGGAGGGCAGTGGAAGATTTCAGGGGTAAATTCTGGGGGCAGTGTTTGGATCACTGGGGTTACAGCTTGAAAGGGGGCTCCTGGACTCTGGCCTCTTCACCTTCAAGTGTATGGTCTCTCGTGCCTACCCACAATCACCTAGGCTGCCAAGTCAACTGAACTACAGAAGCCCACCCGGGAGTCCCCCTATACCACAAACCCAAACAAGTCTCTTCCTTTTGTGACTTCAGTACAGTACGGTAATTCCTTTGTACTCATGAAAAGTTGACTAAGACTTCTCTTCAACAAACTTTGCTACAAAGTGTGTACTTGAGATAGATAAGCACCCATGAAAATTAGTTATGTACTAATTGTCTGATGGCTGGTTTTAAACGAATCCATTAACTATCCTCTAAAAGAAGGAATATGTGTGTGAATAAATCATAATCTTCCCTCCCCAACGAGCAAAATAAAAGAGCTTTTAAAGCTGCCCCCACTAACAATTCTTCCCTGAATAAAACAAACAGGGGCAAAGGGCACCTTGGCTACCCACTTAAGAAGTAAAATCGGAACGCAGGAAATCTGTAATTCTAATCACATTTGTGCCTTCTCTCCTCTTTTACATTTCTCATTCAAACATTCTCAGGAGCTCAATAGGCTTAGAGGAATTGGAGCAGTGCAGAGAACAAAGGTGAGGAAATCCGAGAAAGAGCTTAAATTGCTGTCCACACCATTTTAATAATCTCAGACCAGCTAAGATTCTCAAGAGCTATGAAAGTCACAAGTGTAGGAAGGAACTGTAAAAGTTTTTCTGTCTCCTTTATATTAGAGAAATAGCATTTTGTTAGATACCACTGTGGACAAGAAATGCAATAAATAAATAAATAAATGCACTAAAAAACAAATACCAAATTAAATGTATTAGTCTTAGCCAATGAAAGGCTATGTATTAAGTAAGTATATGAATTTTTAAAAAATGGCACAATTTGTATCCCATATGAAAATGACTACTTATATATTAAGTATACACTGTCTGGAGATCAGGGTGATTCTAGAAAACAATGTAACCATCTACTGATTTTATCATCTTAGCTATTACATAGTAATAAAAATATGACTATAATATAAATATAATACATATAATATAAATATAATACATATAAATATAATAAATATAAGAGTAAAATATTAAGCATATGCTATATGCAACTTATGCAAATTGGGATTGGAATATTTTTAGCAGGGAAAAAGAGATAAATCAATGCCAAAACACTTTAGTGTTTCACTAAATTATTCAAATTAATGAATGACACAAGAAAATTTCAGTATTGTACCAAGTTTGTATATGACTGATTTGACTGGGTCAGTCAAAATCAAGATAATGCTTGCACATGACTTTTTGTTAATGAAAGTATCAAGGAACTTGGCACGTCTCCAGGTGCACCACTGATCTCTAAGAGCACAGCTGGCCCGGTTGTGTTAGTAGGAGCTGCTCTGTTCTCCATTACCTTAGGCCACAGATAAGGTGCTTGCAACTGGAAGACAACCCAGGATGTTGCTTTAAAAAGAAGGTGCATGGCCCCCACCCCAGCACCTATGTATCAGATGCAAACAATGACAACCATTTGCTTTTCTGTAGGGCAGAGAGAGCTTCAGTAGTCCCTTATACCGTGGTAAAAGGCTAGCTCTGTGATCAATGCTCTTAGAAAGGGGTGGTATATACAAGTTCTAGAAATGAGACTCAGCACCTTTCTAAAGTGTGTGGTCGGCGGCAGGCACCAGAAACACTGAGCTGTGAGAAGGTTTTGGAATCAAAGCCTTACCGAACAGACATCAACATACAGCCAAAGCTACTGCATTCGGGGGACAAAAATTTCATAAAGTGACTGTTTCACAGCTCAACAACCCCTGCACACAAACCCCAGTTAGTTTTATAAGCAGCTAATTGAGATGCATTTCTTAATGAAGGAGTACACTAAAATAAGTAAGTAAATGCATATGAAGGGCTTGTTGTTGTTTCGTTTGTTTGTTGAGGAGACAAGAATTGCCCTAAGCTGCAAATATCTACTAGATGTGTCAAGTAGTTTGGAAAGAGTGGGTACTGAATAGGTGTTCAAACAAATATTGGTACATTTAAGAGAGGTCGTGTAAGCGCTGGTTGATGGACTCTGTGTTCCCAGAAGCCCGGGAAGGATGGTAAGAATTGAGTTTACTGGCAGAAAAGCTATCAAGCAAATATGCTACCACTGGGGAGTGCTAAAGGCAAGACTCCTTCACACTGGGAAAAAAAAAAAAGGATGCATTTTGTACTCACCCATCTTTTGCAAATTCTTTGTTCACCCAAACCACCTCCTCGAATCCATCCCTTCTGTTGGCTTCAGCAACAGCTAGCGTTACTCCACTCACTTAGCTCCAGACACTCGCTACTGCGTTGGCTCACTGACACCTTCTCTTCCAGATAGAATGTGTACTTGCTCTCCCGCCGCCAGCAGCTGAGAATCTGAGTACTAGGCTACCCACGGGATGGACGCGGGTGAACGGGAGCTTCTAGGAAGTCATGGTCTCCACCTGCCACATTCGCTGTGTCCGGCATATATCGTCTATGCTCAGAGCCCCCCAAACGCAGGGTTTGAACTGTTGCCCTAACGCTTTTTAGTCATGAAAATATTTATTTTGTGGGTCTGGGAGACACACTGAGCAGCTCGGGTTTCTGTAGGAGAGCCTGGAGCCAGGATGCAGAGGGGCGACTAAAGGTCATGTCTAAGTGCAAACTGGGTCCAGTGCTCATTGCAAAAAGCATCGGCTGCATCTGTCCAGCAAAGGAATATGAGAGGGTTTATGGTTTTACCATCAAACTTGTGGCAACTAACACAATTCCTTTGAGCCTGTGAGGAAACAGCAAAGCCAGGACCCCTGGTGACTTTCCCTCTTGCCAGCACGGTGAACAAACCGCGCCTTTCCTAGTCCTTCGCCCACGTCACTAGAGACAGAGAGCACCCGGCGGAAAGAGACGCTCCATAGCTCCGAGGAAGCCCAGCCATGGTTAAAGGAGCCCGTTTGAAGCCGCTCTACTCCCAGGAGCACAGCAAGCGTGCCCAGAGACCTCACCTCGATTCACCTAGTGGGGCTGGAAGACCCGAAAGGTCATCTCCCCCACCACCACCACCACCACCTCTGGATGCCTGGTGGAGCGTGCTCGCAAGCCCAGAGGTCCCCGGTCGGGTCGGCCGGAACCCGCACACTGCCCGGCCAACCAGCGGCTCTTACCTGCCCGCGGTGTGTACGGCAGCCCCTTGACAGCTCCCCCAAGCCGCCACTGGAAAAGTTTCCGAACTTCTTCGCAGCTCTCCACACCCTCGCTCCGGGTAGACCCAAGGAGAGCCAGGAGCAGGAGACAGCGCCAGCTCAGACGCCAGGTGCGGGCGTCCATCCTCGGTGTTCGGGTCGCGCCTTCCCCGCCCTGGTCCCCACTCTCGCGCGCGCCCTGCGCCGCCGGCGCCGGGGTAGGATGCGTGGCGGAGGCTGGCGGGGATGCGATGCTCAGGCGGCCGCAGGAAGACCGCGGATCGCCCGCGGTCTCACCTGCAAGAGCTCGGCTTTTTCCTTCGGAGCCCCGAGGCTGAGACGCGGGACCTGCCGGGCCCAGCATCGCCCGGGTTCCTCCCGGACCGGGGCGAGTTGGCGCTGCGAGAGCCGAACACGAGCTCCAGAGAAGCGGGGAATCTGCGAGCATCCGGCACCGGCCACCAGCGCTGCAGCCGCTCCGCTCGTTCGCTCGCACGCTCGCAGCCGCAAACCTCGGCTGTGCCCGCCCGCCGAGCTCCGCCGAAAGCCGGGCTGGCCTGCCCCCGAGAGCAGGCCACGCCCCTAGCCACACCCCCGGCGAGCCGCCTGCTCCGCCCCAGCCCGGATCCTGCCGAGCCCAGCAACAGTCCGGCTGCGCGATCTCAGAGAAGAACCAAATTCGTGGAAGGAAGCCCAGTCTTCTTCCTCCCGCTTCATTTAGGAAATCGTTGACCTGCTGAAACGAAAGTATGTCTAAAGAGGATCGGAGGAAGGAGATGAGAACCATGGGTTGGAAACGTTTCTCTACAAACCAAGGTCCTCTATGCAGGGGAATTTGTATTCAAATTTCACGAAAGAGACCTAGGCACAACCGGAAAGGGTTTTGAGAAGCCTAATAACACTTGGGTTTCAAGAAGCCTGGAGGAGAAGTTATTTTTAAAGGCTTTATGTTAGCGCTTCGGAGTGTTTTCCTTTAACATTAGCTATGAATTTTCTGACAGGATGTAGACGTCAGCCTCTCCGCAGAAAGCTACCACATTCTTAATGTCACGGTGAAGTCCGGCTTATTCTCTTCAACATCATAGTTTGCTTCAGCGAGCTATATACCTTTACAGGCCTTTCTGAACTTTGACACATTTGAGAATTTGTTTTTAATATTTCTCAGACAGTAACGAAAATAAAAGTGCTCAACAGAGTTTCTCCCCAAGAATATAGAAACAACGAACATACTGGGCAAGTAACATCCAACAAAGAAAGTTTGTCAAGGTAGAGTTTGCCAAAGGGATGCATAAGAAACCAGACACCAAAAGGCGAAATACAGCTCAGCCAGACAAGTCTCTCATCACAGTCACCTGGAGAGAACGCTCCTGCACACAACAAAGCTGTTTAAAATCATTAGACGGGGGAGGGGGGGAGCGGGGGGGAGACCGGGAAGGGGTGGGGAGACACACGACTCGGGACTCCAAATATCTTAACCACTTGAAGAGAATTTCACCTTAAGCTGAACCCTTGCCAAGACTCATGATGAATAATTTTCAGTCTTAGCTAAGTGTCATGGGGTTTTCCTAATGTCCATTTGATAATCAAAGGCAGTACTTTTCGAAGGTGATTTCTTGCTATGGCTAGGACTCTATTTCAGAGTGAAATACTACTGCCTTCCGACATCTGTTCCCGGAGATTTATTTGTGTTGTTGCTCCGAGACCAGCACTGGGGCCTGCCTTGGTTCAGAGGGCCGTACACATTCAGCAGCCAGAGTGGACCGTCGGATTTTCTGACCGACTCAGAGAAGGGGACCTACACATGAGAGGAGCCAGGTGCGGCCAAAGGAACTTTGGAGCAGGGAGGGGTGGAGAGTAGAGTTGCTGGCTGTTTTCACCATAACTCTGTGGATCTCACTCCTGACCATTTTTTATTAATAAAACAATAAAAGAAGGTGCTTTATATAGGGTCCAATATGGGGTCACACATTTCCACCCAAGACAGCTTTAAAAAAAAAAAGTTTCAAACACAGAGTCAGACAAGGCTTCCTAGTCCAGCAATCTCCCAGACTGGCCACAGTGTACAGAGATGGGGCTCCCAACCGTCCTCTGCATGCATGGGCCAGCCAGGACCATGTACAGGGCAGAGCCACACGGTGGGTTGAAGGTTTGGTTCATATGGTCAGAGAAGGCTGCAAGTGCGCAGTAAAGTAGTCCAGACCGAGAAAACCTTTAAATAGATACAGTGAAAACTGAATATAAACCATCATAGAAAAAAATAATTTAAAAATAATAAACTCTTTAAAGAGAGACTAAACTGATATTTTAAAAAGCCACATAAAGATGGGAAGTACACATGGCATCTGGATCCTGTAGTGTTTTGTTGACTTTGAATTTTTTATGAATGCTGATGAGCAAAAGGCAGCTGCTGAGAGACATTGGATTATAAAAAGAACTGCTGAATTAAACCAACCTATATACTTTAGGGATGTCTTGGCTTCAAAATGGAAGTTCGGAAATACGTTGCATTGGGGGAGGAGATTATGCCTTTGTTTCCATAGGAAACAGAAAGTTATGGTTCTCTTCAAAATTAATGAAGATCAAATTTGATTGAGGAGAAGTCTTGAAAATCTTAGCTATGGACATGAAGAAAGAAACCAAGAAAGACTACAGGTGACATACGTGTTGATCCCTCTGTTATGGGACCAACTCTGACACTGGATGAGACATGATAAATCTTTTTTTGTAGGCAGAAGTTTCTGTCCTCAAGCCACTCCCAAGTAACCACAGAGAGATTTACTATCAATTATAAATGCTGGGTTGAAAGCTCAGGCTTGTTACTAGCTGTTACATCTAAATTAATCCATATTTCGTACCTTGCCACATGATGGTATTTTTTTTTCAGTACAGCATATTCACCTTGCTTCTCTCTGACGCTTATGACTCCTCTGACTCTGCCTTTCTTCATCCCAACATCCTTTGTTTGGTTGTCCCACCTATATTTCCCGCCTGACTACCAATCTGTCAGCTTTTTATTAAGCCAATTCAAGTGAATCTTTACAGTGTACAGAAGGGTTATTCCTCAGCACTTGTTGGCTACAGAGTCCTAATGATTTATTATTACATGTCATCCTTTTATACGACATGGATAGAACTTTGATTACACAGTCAAAACAGACCTTATAAAATTCACAGATGCTTTCTACTTGCTCAAACATAAAACAAAAGGAAGTAATCTTTAACCAGCTTGTGCTCACTGCACAGTCCATACTTGTGTTCGTGCAGATATATATGTTACCTTCTATAGATTGGCACAAAGGTTACTTTTGTAATATTGTATATATGTTTCTACTCCTATTTAAGATATTTTTGTATATTGATATAAATTTAAAGTTACTTTGTCCTTCTGTGTATATGGTTATACTCTTGTTTAAGGTATTGTTCCTATGAAACTCATCTAAAAATGTAATGTAAAGTTCTAGTCCTTGAAAGCTGTTAAGATAATAAAGAAAAACAGATTAGTAGTTAGTCATCTGTAGCAATCAAATTCATAGTCATGTTAGGTATATTTTCAAGTTCCAACAGAGATATACTTTAAATAAATAGATGGTCTTTAAACACTTCAGAGACCTGTGGAATATGGCACTTAAAATGTCTTAATAGCATAGGGTTTTTCATGTCTGCTCCTGGAACCACCAATTTACTTCAAATGAGATGATGGGCATCTAAGAGCCTCCATATAGAGTTTTCTTTCTTTGCAGCAAGAAGCTGCCCTTTTCTTGACACTGACAGTACGCAGTCAAATCAGACAAGCAGGACACAAAAGAAGGTAGCTACTGAAATTTATCAAGACAAGGTAGAACATTCCTTCAAATATTTCTGTTTCAAAAGAAAGCCTATCAGATATCCTAGGCCCATAGGCAAAAGATGGGATGCCCCAGCATTGCAGAGGAACCTTGGGGTGACTGTGTACCAAGCATTCTTCCCACCAGCCTGGTCCCAGTGCCGTGTCAGTCCCAAATGAACACGCAGGACGCTATATTAATTATGAAGCTGTTGGCCATTTTCTATGGTTTCTTGTTGGCTAGCTCTGACTTAATTATTAACCCATAACTGCTAATCTGAGTATTTCCACACAGTCTCCTCTTACAGGAGATCTCTTATTCCTCTCGATTCCTACATGGTTACTGACTGTGCCTCTGTTTCCCAGAATCCTCCTCGACTCCTAGTCCCACCTATCTTGCTTCCCTATTGGCCAACAGTGCTTTATCCATCAACCAATAAGACAAACATATACACAGAAGGACTTCCCCTAACATGACTGTCTAGGCAGCCAGATGCCTCTGTCAATCCTATAATCTGGGGAGTGATTTGTTCTGCACTTCCTGTTTACTCAGGTACTATTATATCTTTCTCAGATCTGTGATGGGATTAAAGACTAGATAGCTATAGTTACAGTTTTCCTTAATTAAGATAGAAAGTAAATTATGTACAAGACTTTGGATTTACCAAGAATGGATAGATGGAGTATTTTCTCTGAATATGCCAAATACAAATGGACTGGACATTGTGAATGTAATTCTTACTTGATAACTGTTCTTATTGTGTAAGTTTTACTATGTTAGAGTTAAAACCATTCCTCTTTATTTAGACAAAGGGGGGAAACGTTATGGGACATTTGTTTATGTAGTTGCTCTAAGACCACAGTGGAGTCAGGCCTTGGTTCTAAGGGCAGTGTCCACATTCAGCTGTCCAGAGTGGATCATAGAGCTTTCCGACAGACTCAGAGGAGATAGACAGACACACAAGGGGAATAAAGAGATACAGAGCACTTTCGAGTGGGGAAGAGTGAAGAGTAGAGGTTGGTGGTCATTTTCTGTTGCTCTGTGGATCTATCAGATTTTAGCCTAATATCTGATTCCCAATATCAGATTTTACCTTAATATCTGACCAATTTTTATTAATAAAGCAATAAAAGAATCTGCATTAGAAATCCATTCTTCCAATACTATAAGTTTTTTCTTACAACCTTAATAAATGAGAACAGAAAACATTATCTCTTTTAAATTCTAGGCCTCCAAGCTCTTTTAAATTCTAAAATACATACATATTCAAGAAAAAAAACTATTCATGAATCTCTTATGCTTTGATGACCCATCATGTAAAGACTTCTTGGGAGTCAGCTATGTCTATGTGAAGAAGCAAGAGCACGGTCCTCTATACAATTCTCATGTGCTAAACTGTGTTCTAAGCGCTATATGGATTTTCCTTTGCTAACTCTTTATAACAACACTCTAAAGTTGTTACTACCAGTACTGTTTTACAAATAAGTAGATGGGAATAAACATGTGAGGCAGTCTGCCCAAAGCCAAAGACAGATGGGGAAACAGGAGTCAAGTCAGGATGGCTGAGTTCCTCAGCCATTCCACACTTCACCTAAATGCCTACTCAGTTGCATCAAGTAAGACTCAAGATGCTTCATTAATCCATCAGACTTTTTAAAAACTAGATATATATTTTTTCTGAACATCCTCATGTGTTGATA